TGATGAACGCATGCTGACAAATCTCTTCCTTTTGAGGAGAAAAAGGTGTATTATACACTGTATTAACGATTGCTAGTGAAAATGAATACTAGTAGAATTTCTACTCCTCTCTTTTTAATATTTTACACCCAACACATCAAGCCCCGCTTAGTCCCATCATTTATTATTATTATTCCCTTGGGTTCCGTGTGTAGCCTAGGGCTTCAGGAGCGCATTGCTGTCTCACTCTATTCTCTGTCGTCTTTTTTAGCCAGTTTCACGAATACCTATAAACTTTCAGTTTCCATCTCACGTGGTATCCTTCATGTCAACCTCGAACGCCTGAATCCTCGCTTCCCGTTTGGTTGCCACTTTATGACCTGGCGTGCAATGTTACTCAACGCTCTCGTCAAAGAACGTCCAGTCCACTGATCCTTGCTGTTTTGGAACCAAGTACATAAGTCATACTAGTAGCCCGGCTGATAGCTGCTACCTTGTCGTGATGGTTCGGCTTGAATACCGTAATGACCCAACATGCTAAACTGTCCCCGCAGGTCCTACCATGTCAGGAAGGTTGTTTGGATAGCGGTTAAACTAAAAGCAGTTACCATGGGGTACATGGACTCCAGTATCCAATCGGATCAAATGGCGTATGAACCCATATGGGTTACCGGAAACCATGGGAATGCAGCTCCCGACGCTGCTCCGCTGCCTTGCGGATTAGACTCCAAGTCAAAGGCTCGGGGGGTGGTCCCTTAATAAAACCACCTGCTTCGGCCTGGGCGCCCGGGCAGTATCTCAGCCCTCACAATAAATTGAATAAAGCAACAAACAATCAATGAAACTTATCGCGTGCTATTACGCGTGTTGCAATTCCCTTCTTTCTTCCCTTCCCGATGATAGTTAACGAATACTGTTTGAACTTGTTAGGCATGACTGTTTTCCTTCCAGGTGAAGTTCTTTATCCGTTCTCTCTCTCTCTCTATATATATATATATATTTCTCTTCTTTCTTTTTTTCTTTTGATCTATGTCCTTTTATTATTATTGTGTGGCGCATCCTTCTTGGTGCCATATTGTACCAAGTTTTTATGCGTTTAAATAAATAAACATACCAGTAGGATACCGTCTAGACGTACACAAAAACATCTTCCAATATCGTCGTGAAAAAAAGAAGTTATCGACGAACGAATAATTCACTTCTTGAGCACCTTCCTAGAAGTTATTCTTCATTGATAGTAAAGTCTTTCAAAGTAATATATAAGGTGAAGCCAAGTCGTCCTATCGGTTTCCGACTAAATCTTCTGTCAACAGGATAAGCTTCTACTTATTGGTTCAGCGATAGGTTCTGGGTTGTTTCGTTGCCGGAATTTTCCTCGTTGCTTATCCTTTCCCGCTGGTCATCTGATCTTCAGTATCGAGCCATTAAAGACAGCTGTTGATAAAAAGTCTTCAGTAGCCGCCACCCTGTCAGAAATGCTTTTCGTGATGTGCACTCCAAGTCGTCTTTGAACCATATAGAAGCAATTAAGATATATTTTACTTTTTAGCTAATCAATCGATTTCCATTAGTTGCATCGTTTAACATGTAGACACCATTAAGTTACACATACACACACACACAAACAAGTGATTACTCTTGCATTAAGTAGAAATCTTGCTTTCCAATAGCAACAGTTGGTCGTTTGAATTATTCACTATCTGCATTCTTCTCGTCTGTTCACTTTCACTCTAACAAGGTATACCTCAGTGCTTTTCATATCTGTCTTCAATGTTTTTGTGTTATTGTTGCTTTAAAACTAAACGTTAAATATGGAGGTAGTAGTGTAACGGTGGAAGACGAAAAACTTGGTAAAGAAAGGTTTGTTAGACATTTGGTATCTCTATATAGGCAAATTATTATTTACACCTTATCTTCAACTCACCATTTTGTACAGATCTTTCGTGTTGTGCTACTTTTGGGCTTCCTTCATATTGTGTTTCTTTGTGTTCCTTTTACGCCTCCCATGTATCTCCTCAAGACTGTATCATTTACTTTCTCTGACATCGAATCTCTATCTCCCTGCTATTCGGTGTCTTTATTCCGATGAACGTCCCTTTATGTACTATTGATAAATCTTATCAATAGCACATGGCTCAGTAGTTCATTCTTATTCATTACATCACTAGCTGTTCTCTGAAGATGTATACACCTTTCAGCTAAGGTAAAGAATAACAATGCAAGGAATGCGAACGCACGAATAACCTCTAGTTGGCCAATCAGCATCACCGGTGTCGTTTATTCACTGGAAATATAAGCATAACAACTATGAGCAGTCTAAAGCTATTCACCAGAAAAATACATATGGTAAAAATAAAACACACTAACCTTGTTTCTAACCGTAACTCTGACGAGTTATCATACCATCATCTGCGGTCACGCAACCAACTTCCACGGTGTGGGCAGCCGGGAAGTAACAATCGCCCTCACAATCCGAAACGCACGCGAAACTTCTCTATTACAACCAAATAGTACCTAAAAATGAGATCAGGGTGAAATTCGCACCTCAATTCGTGTACATAACGTTTATAGTGACATTGTAATAATGGTGGGTCCCATTGTCCAATGAAGAGTATGCTTTCGACGTCATTCGTGTGTGCGCACTCGTGAATCTGTATTCTTTAACTTGATCCATCTTTCCTGTTTCTCTATATTCTTCATTATTATTATAATAGGCATAGCTTACCAATGTATTACATGTATGAATACAGATGCACTTGTTTGCTGATAGAATACCAATTAGAGTAAAACTTCGGTGAATTAGATAAGCCTTGTTGCTGATCACCTCTATCCACCTAAAATGGTTCGTATAAGTGTACAGTATTACTAAATATTTGTACCAGTCAGTAATATATTGTGTATAGCCTGCAATTTCGACGTTATTTGTGGTGTTTCTATGAGACTGATTGTCAATTTTCCTATTATTATTTCCTCCGTGGGTCCAGAGTGGGATGTGTAGGGCTTCTGTAGCACATCTGCATTCCACTTTGCTCTCTGCAGTCATTTTTAACTGGCTCCACATTTTCATGTAGGCTTTCATCTCCTCTACGTCATCTTCGGACTCATGTCGAACTTGACGTCTCCCATCCGGTATCTATTTGAGTATCTTTCTGGCGCGTTGTGTCATTGAACGGTATCCTCAGCGTATGTTAGTTTTTAGGTTATCTTAAATCAATCTGCAGACCACACTATGCGGACGATGGCTTTTGAGAAATCCGTTGGTTGAAAGCTTCTAAAGCACATTTTCTACACGACCTCAATTAATAATCCTCTGCATTTTAGATAACTAGTTGTTATTGATTTGAATAAAATTTATCAAGGATAATTCTAGGTTTAATGAAACTCTATCGATTAAATTACTTTTTAATGTTTTTTCTATATCATGACTTAACTTCTGCGTTTAATAAGTGTTAAGCTAAACATTTCAGGTTCCTTTTAGATTATATGTATTTTAAGAGAAATGGCTTGCACTACTTGATGATTAATTATCATTGATAATCATTATCTCTAAGCATATGATTCATCGTATCTATTCTTGACCTTTTTATTAGCATGTGAATCATTAAGTTTTAACATGACTCGTATGTCACACTAGGAACAACTTGATAGTTGTATAAATTCAAGAAAATAATTTTTTTTATTTCTAAGTTGTATTTCCAAAATATAATATTGATTGTTTCATTCTAATCCATTCCAAATTGTGAAGCACACATCTTTTGTAAAATGATGCTTTTTGTATAAATGATACTATATAGTACTGATTGGCCGATATGAGTAGTTGGATACCACCACATTAACCAGTAGTAGTAGTAGTGCTTGCCAGCCAGACTTAAGTGATCTCAACACTGGCCATCTTTTGGAGCTGATTTCATCCGTGTTGTGCCCAGTTTGATTACTCTTTCGGAAGACTAAATCAGTTGAAACCTCCTGAATGCCGTCTAGCTACTGGTTGATGTGAGTGGTATGCAACTACTCGTATGAATCATTCAGTCGTATGTAGTGTCAAACATGTTTTTCTAATTATCTACTTCATATACTTTCGGTAGGTCATAGAGTTGCATAATGACAATAATTTTTTTCTGAACTATGTGGTCATTGAATCTTCACATGAATAAAGTTAACAATAATGACCATTTGACAGTTTCCTAGTAGATGTTCTGTGACCAGAACTCAATTTTAAAATGATTTAGATATTGGTATTAGGACATGCATCTTTAAACCAGTTAGTGAGAGGTGGTGTAATCACAGTCAGTGCTACTCTATACGAATCAGAAACTTGGCGCGTCATGAAGAGCACCTCAAACAAACTACAGACCTTCATCAACGAGTGTCTTCGCTCAATACTACTCAAGATCAGATGGCCGACCAGAAAAGATCAGCAACAGGGATCTTTGGGAGAGAATCAACACAGCAGGAACCGATTGTGCAACAAATAAGCAGGAAGAAATGGAGATGGATTGGCTATACTCTGAGGAAACAAATCGTCAAGTGACATCACACGTCAGGCAATTACTCGAGTGGAACCCGAACGGAGAGCGGCGAGTTGGTCATCCAAGTTTGACTTGGAGAAGCTCATGTGAAGAGGAGATGAAAGCATGTGGGTAGTCGTGGAGCCAGGTGAAGGCGTTGACAGAGAACTGAACGCAATGGAGACGTGCAGCTGAAGCCCTATGTTCCTCTAGGAATTAAAGGAAACAATTATATATATATATATATATATATATATATATATATATATATATATATATATGAAAAAACAAAAAGCATCTTGGGAACTAATTAAACAGCAACCTGGGTCGATAAGTCGGTATTTATCAACTTGCTGAAATCTGATTGGCTGTGTTTTTTTTAACGTGAAGATAATCAATATTTATACACTTTAAATTCTGTCTAATAGAATACCGAGATAATCTGTAATGGTTACACAAAGTTGTTTTCTAATTAACTATTTTTGCCTCCTTTTGTTTTAACATTTCTTTTAGACTGATGTCAAGTCATCAACGATTGAGTAAACTAAATCATGAATTAGAAGAACATCTTTTGAATACTGTAAGTACAAGTAGACTACAAGTAACTTCGTGTTTTCCTCATACACCTTCCTTTCTTCTTATTCCTATTACTGCTTTTGCAACCTTTTTTATTTAAATGTGGACTTCCTTCATATCGTGTTTCTTTGTGTTCCTAGTAAATCTTATAGATAGCATCCTCCACAAGAGGGTTTACTGACTAGATATCCTATAGTTACGTAATCAAGATTTAGATTAAGAAGCGGAATAGGGTCGAACACCAACAAATTTCAAGATAGATTTTTTCACTAACCGGATCATTGAATTCCAATCTGGTAACTAGCGTCATACTTACAAGGAGGAAATGACAGATTGTGGGCAATCGTGGACGCAACTGAAGAGGACGGCAGGAAGTAGAACAACGTGGAGATGTGTTGTTGAAGCCGTAATGATAATTCCCATCCTGTAAAAATAAACGCTGCTACAGAAACTTAAAGCCCTTAGATTGAAGCTCTATGTTCCACTGGGAGCGTGAAGGAAAAATTATTAAAAATTATATTAAATATTCAGTTCTCTTGAAGGATTTTTACAAAATAACCAGTTGATGTGATTATGTCTTTCAATACACTACAAACAGTCTGATCATACAACGTATTATCATGGAAAGATTTACACGTAAACTAAAATATAAATGACTGAATGAAAAAGAGAGAATAGGTTAATTGACAAGGTTCATTCATTTATAGGTCAAAATAACAATGAAGCTAACTAAGAGTTTTAGATTGAAATCATATTCAAAAAGAAAGATATAGTAAAATATTAAAAACAATTCTCAATTTTGCAATCAAGAAAGCACGCATCAGTTCGTGACGCTGTATAGTACTGATGGAATAAAATAGGTTCAACAACTGCCATCATTCCATCCAGTTCACGTCGGAATTTCACTTTTTGGATGTTTTTCTAAAAAGGAGGTCTGATAGTTCTCTTCAAAGATCGATCTACAGGAAACCAACATGTAATGGTCAGTACACAAATTTCCATAGTTGGGTCCCTATGAGAAGAAAGTGAAATCTGATCCACTTCTTATCCACAAGAATAAGAAGGATATGTACCATTGATAAAATCGACGGGGAACTGGAGTGACTCAGATAAGTCCTCATGGAAAATGATTGCCCTTCCAGATTCATCGAGAAAAATATGAAGGTAAGGCAAAAGCCAGAAAGAACCCAGACAGTTCCGAAGAAACTGCTATTTATGAACGTTGAATTTAAAGGGGGTACCTCTGCTGAGATTCTGAAGAACCGTTTATGCACATCACTGAGGGAAGCCTTCTTGTCGGTGGAGCTACAGGTCAGTTTTTACAGCCGATAAATCACCAATGGATGTGTGAAGGATAAACTACCGCTTCAGGCCACTTTAGTGTGTGTTTATAAATTCACTTTTTCCTGTAGAGCTAGTTTTATTGGCCGCACAAAGCTCACATTCTCCAAACGCATCTCTGAACATCATCCGGTGTGGTCAGCAAAAAGACAATGCAAAAAAATTACTAGCTCAAATCTCGAGCACTTGTTGAGCTCATCAAGCTCACCATCACCACGACCTTCTTACCAATCTTCATCCCTCCCCTCAATAGTTACAGTTTGATTACTCATCACATTTTTGAAGTATCCTGATAACAATAACCCTAACTTATTTTTATTCTTATCAGACAAGCCTAATGTACACACACGCATACAAAAATAAGTATATATACTTACGGCTGTACACCTAAATGAATGAATTCGCCGAAAAGAGACCCCACTGAATTAAGTGTTATGTTTTCATTAATCGGTGATCAACTCGGAAAAAGCTCAACTAACCCTTACAAACCAAACTATAGAAAATTAATCTGATGCACGCTAGTAAATTGCTACAGGATGGAGTTTCCTGAAGTTCTAGTGAGAAGTCGTGACCAGTTATGTCCAACCAGATGTCACGTGTGAGGATGGATGTCCCACCAATGATAATGGTTGAGTTCGCGCTAAATCACGAATTAGTAGAAGTTTGAATACATGGGCTGGCCCATTGAATCGGGTCCCAGTGGCTGAATGGTATACGAGCTTGCCTTGTAACCGGAAGGTTCTGGGTTCGCACCCTGGCGGTGGGTGCGTACTGCCGATGATTCCCAAATTAGGATGAAACAGCAGCTGTCCAGTACTCCCTGGTTTTCAATGGTTCTCTAACTGATATCAATTCGTGATCAACTCGGAAAGAAACTTAACTAACCCATACAAACCAAACTATAGAAAATCTTATCCTTTGCTTCAGTATCAAATCCTGTTAATAACAACATACAATTTAGAGAAGCTTATTAAATGCATATTTGTTCGAAACAAGAACAAAGAGGAAAATGGATTTCATTGTTTCCTTCAATATGTATATACATGTAACCAGTTTATGTGCATCATTGGTGCACTAGTACAATGTTTACTAACTACGCACGTTGTCCACAGATCGATTCATGCGACAGACGCATTCGGAAACCTCGCCTAGGTTTACTAGCTGATAGTTAGAGTGAAGATTACGGCATGAGGCTCTAACATTTACACCTCGTAAAGTTGACGACAAAAGCAACTGAAACTTCAGAAAAGCTTGAACCCCTTTATTCCACTTGGAATTCGTAAACTGGAAAATAAACAACACCAGTTTATATGTGTTTCACTGTGGATTTTTTTTTAATTTTCAATCAGATTATCAGCCAATAAGGATTTCTTGATATTTTCATCTTCTTGTATAGGCTGTGTATATTCCCTCTCTCTCTCTCTCTGATTAAACATTTCATGCTAAGATTGATTTTACTGGACTAGACAGGAACTAGGATTAATATAAATAATGACTGATATATGTCCAGGAAGCCCTATGTTCATAGATGACTTTTTTTCAATACATCTTATCGTGTTCACTAATCAATATGACTATTACAACAAATGAACTTCTACATTTATAGAATATTTTCCGAATCTATATACTGGTGTATATGGGAAGAACAATGATTAAAGCTGACCTTAATAAAGAGAAACAATTAACTTCATACAAGTAGAAGTTTATTGAAAGGAAATATTGTATTGTCCTGTGAATGGATATATGGCGTGAGTGAATGATCTCTCTACATTTTTAAGGAATTATTGTCCTATCAAAGCCATTGTTTCTTTCTAAAGTGAAGATATCGTCTACCACTTATATCATCTACAATCTATCAGTTAAACGATCATTATAATAATACTATCGCTGTCAGCATGCTGTATGTGTTGCTTTCCTCTGATATTATTGCTTGTATTTTCTCGTCAAACAATTTGGTTTCAAATATCTAATAACTGGTTTGTTTTGGGCTTAAAATCCCGCTTCATTTACTTCAGCCTGGCTTTCGAGTGGAATATAGGGCTTCAACAGCACGTCTCCATTTCACACTGTTTTCCACAGTCGTCTTTAGCTGACATCATGGTTCCCATGATCCTTTATTTTCTCCTCATACGATCACCTCCATGCCACACTTGGACACCTAACTCGTCATTGCCTATTTAATCTCCGCTCCAGGGCCTACCTGGTTCATGATGTTGCTCACAGGCCTCGTCAGAACGCGTCTGGTCCATCTCCATTCCCCTCGGTGTATTTGTTAGGCGATAGATTCTTTGTTGACTTGTTGCTGTCTTAGTTCCTCATTGCGTATCCTTTCCAGCTGGTCATCTGGTCTTCAGTATCGGTCCAGACGAGACAAGCCTGAAGCCTGTCAGATATGCTTTCCGTGACGTTTCAAGGCTCTGAACCATATAAAGACAGTGACTTAATTGAAATTAGTGTTGAAAATCCGAGTCTTTTCTTCCTTATGCCTAGTGCAATGGATTTCCACTCTGGCTTCAGAGTAATGAAGGTCTGTCCTGATATTCTAATCCTGGCTGGCTTTGACATTATCATCTGTACCTCCTGTAGTTGAAGTGATACTGTCTAAATAAGTGAAAGAGGCGACTTCCTTCAAATTTCCGTTGATGGTGATTGGCGCTTGTTGTTAGCGGTTAGGTATTTTCACCACCTCTGTCGTCTCTATGTTCACTTGAGGTTCTGTCTTCACTGTCTATCTTTCTGCCAACTTGTTGATTTTCACCTGTAGATCTTCATGCCTGTGTGACATTAGACATGAATCATTCACAGAGTCCAGATCTTCTACAGTCTAGCCTAGAACATTAAGTAGTAATAATCTGCTCTCACGCAATAAGTGTGATTTAGAAATCTGTTTCAGGTGACTCAGAGTTGTAACAGTTATATACGCGCTTCTAAAAATTGTTCTCATCAGTAATTTACCCGAGAATTGAAGATTATTAAAGGAAAGGTATTGTTTATCTTTAGAATAGAAATGTTTTCCATGGCACAAACATTAGAGGATCACTGTCCATACAGTGGCAGTCAGCTATATACACATAATCCACGTGCCTCGTGGTCAGAGAACTAGCATTACTTATTATTACTATAGGCTTGTATACAGGATAATACCTATTGAAAGGACACTGATTAAAATCCTTCTGGGGATATTCGAATCCGCTACTTGCGAGTGACACAGTCTGTGGTGACAACTAACCATAATCTCCTTTGCAAATAAGTCAATGTATATATAATCTCCTCGATAGCACAGATGTAGGCAGCAACAGCCCATCCAAAGAACAGTGTTTCTTTTTCAAATCTCAGTGGCCCAAAAACGAGAGAGGTGTTACATCTATTCGTAGTCGAGGTCATAAACACTGTTGTTATTTTTTTCTTTCCGTCACGTTTCCAGTGGAACATAGGGCTCCAAGCCAGTTGCTTGAAGTTTCTGTAGCAGTGTTTATTTTTACGGGATGGGGTTGCTAGCCTCATGCGCAACATTTCCTTTTTACCAGCATTATTTCTGGCTTAGCGAGGTAAAGGAGTGCGTCTGTGACCGGGGATCAAACCTCGGACCATGTGCATGGTCAGCGAGCGTCCTAACCGCTGCGCCACCGACGAAGAAATATACAAGTGGAGAATAAAAAGCAAAAGTGTTATTGTGTAATGTGAAAAATGACGTTTGTTTGCATAAAAATATTGGACTAATACCAGTAGAAATACAATGTAATGCTAGTCATAAAAAGTAATAATAACAGACACTGTTGTACATACTATGAATGAACGTTTTTCTATGGTTTTCAAGAGATACTGTTATAACTAGTCAGCTCAAACTGTGTAATTTTCAATTGACTAATGTGGTTCTATTTTGATTACCAGTGTACTCAAGTAGCTAGACAGAATTTGAGTAACTCGCCTGTCTAAGCACAGCTGAACCGTTTTCACCACACTGATGAGCTTAGCCTTAGACAAGAGAAAAGACTAACCAATGTTGAAATCACATCGATCCGCCTGCGTCGGTGGCACAGTGGTTAGGACTCTCGCCAACCATGCACATGGTCCGGGGTTCGAGCTCGCACCGACGCACACCTGATATCTATGGTCGGCCTGCAAAATTTGGGCTACCGATATCCATGCTGAAAATTCCATACTTGTACCAAAAATACAGTGTGGAATCAAGCTGTAAATCAAAAAAAAATGAGGTCAATTTTTTCAGCCTACTCATACAATCAGTAGTATGTACCATCATTCCATTCTATGAATATTGTTGAATTACTTGCGTATATATTAATTAGTTAAACGTATATATGTATTTCATGCAAGCTTTTTTAATGTGTTTAAGTAGTGAAATCGTCACAATGAATTAATCCTACATGTTTATTATGTATTAGCCAATTGTTTCTTATCGTCTTTACAAGAATATTTCTCATATTGATCATAGTCGTCGTCATCCCCCCACCCCCTCCAATAATATTAAAAACATAAACTTTTCTCCTACTTAGCAGTTAAATATTATTCCAATCGATCATTATTTTCATAGAAATATTTCAAAAGAAATATTCACAAGATGACGGATGACGCAGTCAATTCACTTTAATTGAACTTTTTAGTTTATTGAATTGAAAGTGAATCGTAAAATGATCTTCTTTGATTGAACATTAGTCAGTAACTAGTGTAATGTGTCTAGTCCTACGTTTGGTGCAGACTAACTGGTGTCCAATTAAAAATATCCGGTACAGCCCTGCAGGAGGTCAGTCACGAGCCCAAATAGCTTAGTGGTAACGTCGCTGACTACTGCAGCGCTGAGTGGCATTGGTTTGAATCTCAGAAGGGACATGAGTTCCTTGATGGTTGCAGATACACCTTGTTGAATGGTGAGTGCCAACTAGTATGGAACCTTGGTCCAAGTTTTCTTGCTGATTGTCTGCAAGTATCTAAAATTAAAAGGATATTCTGCAGAAGACATCAGTATTCACCCTCTAAAGCGACTGATAGGCTCCACAGTTGAAAGCGCATATCCACATTCACAGTGCTGATATTATTCCAGAATGATTTATAACTAAAAGCAAAAGTAAGTTTCCAATGCTAACTAACTAGCCGGGGTTATAAACTTGAAATCTAAGTTGTAAGACATGCTTTTGATTTAATAAATACTCTTGCTTTGACAAGTCTATTTTCAATGTAGAGTAGAAATGAATGATATCTACCTTTGTAATTGTTTATTGACTCTTAGATTAGATGAAGAAAGCAAAAAGGAATGAAAGCAGTATTCCTTTCAAGATTTGGTTTTTTGTGCTTTTTGATGACTCTAGGCGTTAACACTTAACTACAATAATATCCAAGCTAGATTTTGTTGACAACTTCAGAGTAATCAATAATTATTTTGTTTCTTTTTAGGGTGTGGTTATTTGTAATTGTCGTGTAGTCTTTATTTACTTGTATCTTTTGTTTTCCTTATTTTTATTTTATTATTATTACTATGGTTGGTACTAAACTCGTTACTCGTTTAAGAACGACAGATTTGCACTGGTTGTTTTTCTTCATTCCTTTGTGTTCTGGGTTGGACATAGGTCTTAAGGCTTGAACTTTTAAGTTTCAGTCGCAGTTATGGCTTTTTAACAAACTTTCTTTTTTTGCCAGCTTTGAGGTATAGCAGTGCTTTAGCCGGGGATCAACTCCTAACCACGTGCACAGGTGATGAGTGTTCCACTACTCAACCACGGACACAAAAGCCAGGGGAGTACTGGACAACTGTTTCACTCTAGTTTAGGACTCTTCAGTGCTATGCACCCATAACTCCATCGGGAATCGAACCCAGGACCCTCAGCTTACTGGGTGGACTCGTTGATCATTCAGCCACTTGGAGGGAGAGAATTCAATGACGTGTGAATTTTAACTTCATCAATTTGTGGTGTAGCGCTGCCTCCACCAAATTCGTCGATTAGCAACCATTTCATCATGACATGGTAGACCCCAGTGGTCACAATTTCCCACTGCAACTTCAGAAAATCCATCCAGTAGCCATCACTGAGTTGGTAGACTTTTTTTGTCTTTTAGTAAATGATACAGGTCGTCGAAATCTCCTATTAATATATATGTTAATGTCATCTTCATGTGACTCGGATGTTCTATGCTTCTGTTTGCATACTTGTCACCTACGTCTGGCAAACATGGCCTGTTTTAGACTACAGTTATTCAACAATCATGTTTGCTGATATGCGTCACTAAATTATCTCAAGGTTCAAAAATGGATTTTTGTAAATGTTATGAAGACTGTTATCTTACATTTTTTATTCCTTCGGGTTCCGGGTGGAATATACGGCTTTGTGCTACATCTTCGTTTCACTGTGTCCATAAACTTTCAATTCCTTCTCACATGATCACTTTTGGACATCCCATTCGGGTTCTATTTGGCAGTCGAGTGTGTGATATCACTCAACAGTCTCCTCAGTGTATGTCCGATCTATCTCCATTTTCTTAGGCACATTCGTTCGCCGATACTTTTTTGGTTAGTTAGTCATCAAAGTTACTTGTTGCTTATCCTGTCTGGTCGACCATCTGATTTTCAGTAAGGGGCTAAGGCAGTTGTCATTGAAAGTCTACAGTTTATTATGAACATCGCCCTCTACTAAGTGCTTTAATCATAGAACATTTGATTTGGTCAATTTTTACATATGTTATGCATATTTTCTCATTGTCTTTCACAATCCTGATTTGAAAAAATATTTTGAAAAATAAAAATAAATCGCATTTCACTCTCTCCTAGCAATAAGATTCATTGTCAAGAATTAATTTCTAAGGATAAGGTTTGTTTTATGAGTTTCACCATGGATTAATATCACTTAGAGAATTATTAGGAACCAGGGAGTACTGGACAACTGTTTCATCCCAGTTTGCGACTCATAGGCTGTAAGCATCCACCTCCAGGGTTCGAACCTAGGACCTTCCGGTGACAAGCAAGCAAGCTCGTAAATCACTCAGTCACTGGGACCCTATTCACTGCCCAGCCCATGAATTCTAACCTCTACCACAAATTTGTGATTTAGCGTGACCACCAACCAATGTCTTCAGTGGCGACTCCATCCTCACACTTGACTGGTTGAACCTCACTGGTGGTCACGACTTCTCACTAGAACTCCAGGAAACTCCGTCCTATAGCACAATTCACTGGCGACCATCAGATTAATTTTCAAGAGTTGATGTGTAATAAATAAGGTGCATATTAGTTGAACAATCTATGTAGCGCATTCATTTATGCCTAGACCATTTGTCAGAGCCATTTGGAAATCAATTTAGCTAGCTAAAAATCGTCAGTGCTCTGTACTTACTCTATGTCGTTTGACTCTCAGCTTGTCAAGCTGACATCCGAAAGAAATTGAAAGCTCACTTAACCGAAGGCAGATTAGTTTACGTAATATAAAAAGTGTTAATCAGACTTTTTCAAACCGTAAAAGCAATAGCAATTCACCTGTTAAATCTTGAACTCTGTGTATACAAGAAGTATGTTCAGCCAATAAATGTTTACAATGGATCTTATCTCTCTCTTAACACCGAAAGAGTATTTTTTGTTTCTTTTCCCCTATTGAATTTCTACCGCTTATTACTACTTTCTCTCAATTTTAAGTTGAAGTCTACTTAACCCCGTCAGTTATACTACGTCACTCAATCTGCTTATTTATTTGTATTTTAATTTCTACCCGATCGCCACTTTTATATTACGTAATCCACTATCTAAGAAAAATTGCAATTCTAATGACACATCTTTGGAAATATATATATATATATATATATATATATATATATATATACATATCCACGTTCCCAGTGGAACATAGGGCTTCAGGATAGAGGCTTGAAGTTTCTTTAGCAATGGTGTTTACTTTTACGGGATGGGGTTGCTAGCCCCATGTCCAACCTTCCCTCTTTACCAGTCTTATTACTGGCTTAGCGAGGTTAGGAAGTGCGTGGGCCGGGGATCGAACTCCAGACCATGTGCATGGTCGGCGAGCGTCCTAAACGCTGTGCCACCGACGCACCTACATATATATATATATGCGATTGTACAGCTTAAGAATGATACCTCTGGAAAGAGTAACTCTTCTCTGGACGTCTTTTCTTTCAGACAATATCTTGTTAAACTGCTGTCATCTGATGTATGAATTTATTTAACTTTTGTACCATGAAAGCGTTAAAGGTGTTTACTCTCAATATGCATTGATTTGCAAGCCGTTTATGTTATATTTTATTGATATTTTTATTTCATCGGTTTGTTTTTCATTGTTCATCTCTTTTTCTACTCTCTTTGTATGTATGTGTATGCTTGTGCGTATGTGCTTGTGATACCTTTCACGTAGATCGAGAAGTCAACATCTGAGATACAACAGTTAACTGAAGAATTGGAATCGACTAAAAATGCTTTAAGGCACTCTCAACAATCCTTAAATATTATTACACAAGAAAGGGTTAGTTTTTTTTATCATTATTATTACGATTGTTAATATATACAAACTCTTTAAAGTAATTTGGTCTGTTTATGGTCTAATATGCTTTCTCTCATTATTCTTCATGAATTAATGAGGGTCACTGTGTAGTTTAATGCGGAGAGATATGGTCTCATTGGTGTGAGTAACTCGAATTTTAGCCATTTTTAGTTGTGGTCTCGAATCGCACTTCAGCGGTCCTTACATAATCCGTGTGCCTTATAGTCAGGTACCTGGCAAGTGATTTCGACTACTGCTAGCAGAGTAATGTAATCTGGGGGTGTATATGCAAACACTTGTTGGTTGGTAAAGATATTCTTGCTGGAACCACTTTTTCATGAATTCAGATTAAGTGGATTCTTGGTTTGTTAGTAGCTAGAAGTCTTAAAATTTTTTGATCTATGACTGACACGGATAACCGGTTTAATCCTTGGCGGGGCTTACTGAAAATCACCAATCAAGTTTGCGATGTGCTCCTCAGTCCAGGAGAATGTCAATCGTCATACGCTGTGATTTGTTGTTAGATGACTGGGGCAATCCGTAGGGTGTCATGAAGCCTACGTTTTGTGCTTATTGATACTCGTCATTAATATGTATGTGGAATCTCCGATGAAAATGATGTTCCGTCGGAGATTCAAATCTATCTCACCCAGTAACCACCAATCAGAGATATCACCGTTGAGATATTTGAGCTTATAATTGACCTCCTGTTGGAGTATATTGTAAACGCTGGGGACTCGGTTGTAATCAGTGTCATGTATCTGTTCCTTCAAAGTTGCACCGTGTTGACGAGTGCTAATAAGCATAAAACATGCATACAGGTCTTCCTACTGACTAGTTCCAACCATCTGATAATCGTCCTAAATTAAGTTGTAAGCAATATCCAGTCACAGTGATTCTCAATAGTTATCAATTCTCATCATCCTTAGCAGGTAATGCTTCACATTCTTTTCAGATGAATACCAGTCGTCCACTAATCGTTACTGATACTTTTGTAGGTGAATATACCTATATATTGTTATATTTAATTGAATTTTAGATTTTCCCGTCGATTGATTGGACCGAAGTGCTCGATCTAGTGGATAACGCTTTGACGTTTGAAACTATGGGCACTGGCTTCGAGCCTCGGTGGGAATATTATCACTGACTCACTGGGGAATGCGGGTACATCCAGCTGGAGGACGAGTCCCAAATAGGACGAAATGCGCGTCATCCCGGATTCCACTGCTAGCCACCATCCACCAATTAAATTCTACAATTATAATTAATATATTCCATTTAAGTAGGTTGAATTAGTTGTAACTTCAGTTATTTACCAGTGATGTTAGACTGAAGTCATGTTGCATATCATAGGTTTCACAGATAAAGTGCTTTAAGCTAATTAACTGTGTCTTGAAGTAGAATACCCAGAAACCGTTGTGTTAAAAAGCACTGATTACAGTAAGCGAATATAAAACCCAAACACACCCTCTTGGCTAAGTTTCGTAATACCGTTCAACAGCTGACATTTCAGCAGGTGTACAGTAAAAATAGAAGAGAGATAGCAATCGTATGTCCGATATCCTCTGTAGTGATGTCTACAACAACCACAAAGCTTCAAGCATATATCATATAAATGTATATTAATTCATATGTAATTACGGTGATTTGTTTACTTTTTCACAAATTGTTCAGGATCGTTGTAAAGAAGACTGCATTTCAGCAGTTAGATTACTTCAGGCTAATCCAAATCAATTCTTATCAGAATTACCACGACCTGTAAGTACAAAATATACTTTTCTGTAAAGTATAACTACTTTGTTATAAATAAATAACCTTTTGTAAAAGGCATATCATTATATATATATATATATATATATATATATATATATATATTCTTGTGATCCCTGCATAGAATATGTGACTGTAGCTCACTGAACCAAACCCAATTTTGTCCACTAAGCAGTATGTGTGACATTATTTTAAAGTATTGATTTCTTAGGGATTTTGTTTGATTGGTTTGAGGATTTCATCATGAGCTGACATCAGTTATCCAGTACTCCCAGACAGGTTTTTCAGTGGTTCTCTAACTGATGTCAGCTCAATATAAAATCCTCCAACCAACCAAACATTATTTTAAAGTGGGTGATGATCAAGATGGTTTTGTGTTCCCATAAAAGTGTGTGGGCATCTATTATATCCGGGCTGCTGACACTGTAGAAATTGATTTCTTTTTAAAATACCTAAAATAGAAGGAGCACTAGTGTTTCGTAACTACAGAGCTCCGGGACAACTGCTTGAGATCAGTCGCACATGGCTTGTTTTTTGAAGTTGTCTCCGTATTGCGATCTTACCACCGGCTTCCGTGCATCACAAGTTAAGTCGTTATGCACGATTTTCGGAATGAACTTTCATCAACCCCTACCTTTCCCAAAGTGAGAAGGCAGCATCACTGGTTTACTGGTCGTCTGAGAGGAACAACTTATTGTTGTCAAATCCGTATTCGACAGCAGTACTACGTTGCCTAGAGGGTCCTCCAACATAGCGTGAGCGAATTCAACCGTTGTGGTAACTGCTTTTAGTCTTACCTCTGTCCAAACGACTTCTCTAGCATGTTGAGACTTGCACGGACATTATTTACAACTAGTGTTGCTCGTTGGGTTATTCTGGTATGCAAGCCTGACCACCACATAAAGGTAGCGACTATCGGTCGGTATGTGATATTGAGTTGTGAAATACTCCTCAATTTCATCATATTGAAAGAGGTGAATTAAAATTTACATCGATCGACAATGTAACCCTGTGAATTGGATTCTGTTTGTAATCTGTAGAGGATGCACAGGTCTTGGAGGATTTAACTGCAGCACAGTAGATGTGCATACAGCTTTAAGTTCACTGTTTGTCTTTCTAAGCCATGTATAATTGTGTTTCTCAGGTTAACTAATTAATTAAAACCTTTATCGATAAAATTTTCCATGATAAATACCTTCATGGACGTGAGATTTAACCTCTGAAAGCGAAAGATATAAAGAGGCTGGCCAACTTTTTGACCATAGCTGTTTGCGTTTTTTGTCTATTGTGTTAGTCAGTATAATATGGTTAGTAATAATGAGGTAAGGTGTAAAGTTTTTAATCAATGAGTGGAAGTCAGTCGACTAGGCTTTGAAGCTAAATAGACTGAGATAACTGAGAGACGTGTTATGCATGCCCAAGTCTGCCCCCTTCTTTGTTGAGTGATGTTAGGTGAAATAGGCCTAAGTTAGAAAAGCGATCAGCCCACTAATTGTTAAAATGTTGATTTGAGACATGTATGAAAGTATAGACTGCCTTGTCTGAATCCCTGTGACGCTGCCGAAATGCAGAGTCTGCTGAATACCTTGAGCTGCAATCTGCGAATGTTTGGCATGTGATTTGCTCCCACCAAATGTAAGATGATGCTACAGGACTGGATTAGACTACATTGACTCCTAGTTTAGAAACAGAAAGTAAAGTGGTAGAGCACGTTGACCGCTTCACTTATTTTGGGATGTTGCATCAGCCGACGCCAGGGGGTTGATCGCTGACAAAATCTTAGTACGGATACAGAAGGCTCGTTGGACATATGTCAGTTTATGCCGTCTCTGGCGTAGACGTGATATCCGGCTATCATCCAAAGTGTTTTTGTACTGCTCAGCAGTTCGATCCATCCTCCTTTATGACTGTGAGACCTGGCCATTGAGAGTGGAAGACATGAGAAGGCCGGCTAGCTGTCTCTGATCATAAGTGCTGCGTTCTATATCCCTTGTGTGTTAGGTGGTATAATAGGGTCAGCAATATTGGGGTTAGACTTCGGTCGAATGCTAGGTAAGAAGGGGAAATTAATCGACGAGGTTGTGAAGCAGCAGCTGCATCGAATGAGATGGTTAGGGCATGTGTTATGGATGTATGTCTAGTCATCGCCTTCGTCGACAATGGGCGATGTTAGCTGACTGATATATGATCAGGCTGGAAAAGAGAAAGCTAGTGGTAGTCAAACCAAAAAATGGCTTCATCGGTCAATGAAATCCACGACAGTTAGTTTAAGCCAGCAACTTAGCGTTCTCGGGACGGTAAACGCCAGTGATTGGAGACAATCATTGTTATGGCTCAAAATCGTACTCAATGGCTGGTGCGGATGCATCCACTCCTTGTGACTTATAATACCTAGTAAAACTATGTTGTCCTTCGATATTACCATTCTTTTTGCCTCATATCTCTGTATACTGTCTCTATTTTGCATTTCTTTTCACCTTTTTTCTCTTGCTTCGTGTGCCACATGGAGTGAGGCAACTCAAAGTGCTGCACATCTGTGCAAAGTTCTGTATTGAAATCAGTCAGTCAGCCAAAATTGAGCAGAATAATATGTTATTTTATTACAGTGCATGTTGTTAACTTCTTACGACATTAAACAGTTTTAATGTCTCTGGATTTCATCTTGAACTGATATCGGTTAGAGGGTGATTGGAAGACTTGGGAGTACTGGACAGCTGTTTCGTCCTGTTTTGGTACTTTTCGGCAGTATGCACTTACCGGAGTTCGAACCCAGGACCTTCTGGTTACAAGACGAGCTCGTAGACCATTAAACCACTTTGACCCGATCCAAACCGATATCATTTCATAATCAAATCCCCCAAATTAATCAAATCCCAACAATTGAATTTTAATGTCCCTACGCAAAATATCCACAAGCTTCAAGTAATTAACTTGAAAAAAAGGGGAATACACATGGGTCTGAAAAAATAGAATTCAGCCCGTAGTGTTTGCTATGCAAAGAAAAATTAAATAAATATCATTGAATGTCATTTTCAAAATTTCAAGTGTAATCACGAAATGATTCCCGTTAGACAGAACCACTGATAAACATGCAGTGGTATACATTTGTTCCATCTTGGTTTGAGACTCTTTAGAATGTACACATCTATGATCCCACCGGTGATTGAACCCAAGACCTTCGGAATTGTTACACGTTTGTACGCAGTTCACAATGAACTGACGGAAAAAGCTTATATCATGTGTTATTCTGTTCAGTTTTTGTTTTCGTGAATGAATCATCACACTTCTTCATAACTGGCCTATATATTACCCAGGTTGGTGTATATTGTATATTCTTAAGTCTTATAGGGATATTGCATGGTAAGCGGTTAATCTCTTTGATACATATTAGAGTTAATGAATAATAATAATGTTAGCATATTCTACGTCTAACAATCTATACTGATTTCTCATTTGGAAATTGTCTCCTGATATATATTTGTTTTTTTAAAAAAAACGCAACAAGAAATATTGTTATAAATATCAAGGTACATCCAGTTGACGAGTCCCTAACAGGACGAAATGCGCATCCTGGATCCCACGGCTATTCACTGTCCACCAATTTCCATCAGATATTAAGTACATTTGAAGTAATCGTATGTGAATGCTACACAATGTTGAAACAAAATTATTACTAGCATTAATTAATGACTAATTCAGCAACCTCTTAGGTAACAGAACAAAGTCCCAATATCCCTCCGGACTAAACTCACTTTAGAAAAGACCATAAACCAAGGTGTGTCGAAAAAATATTCTGTTACTGTTCTTTTTTTTGTACTATGAAAAGGCGTAACGTATTTTCCGAAATTAAGAATGAAATCTTTTACGATTTTTGTAAGTATGTGAGACCTGTCTATCCACTCATCTTTTTTCCTCAGCATGTCTTGTTCGTGGATGTATTCAGTGTCAGTATACTGAGAGAAATGTGGTGGTGGTGATAATCAGCTGTTAGTCTTCGCTATGCACAGTAGTGTAGTTTACTTTGTTAGGGTTCGTTAAACTATCAAAAACTTTGTGTTGAAGACCATAGATAGTAGGGATATGATAGTGTCGCAGTAGAGTGTGTGTGATCACACTACACTGTCATCTTTACTGTACTGTTTCATTTCTTCATTTGTGTGATTTTTTCTGCTCCCTGTTTTTTAACATCTTCGTCAATTTCATGTTCATAGTATGTGAGGCGCTTGTTAAGCAGCAGTACGCTCTCCAACCCACTCTCCTGGTCTGGGGTTCGATACTCGGTCGACGCGGTCCTAAACATCGTTAAGTCGATAGAGTAAGGCCAATAAAAGGGACAGAATTGGGCGCGAGGCTAGAACCCACCACCCCTCCTTACCCCTGTAAAAAAAAAGTGAAATCACTGCAACTGAAACTTCAAAGCTCCATCTTGAAGCGTTGCATTCCACTCAGAACGTAAAGGAATACAATAATAATAATATTGTGTGGAATGTATTAACGTAAATCCTGTAGATACAGTAATTACTAGACTTTGTATTGATAGTTCTTGTATACGTGTATTCGTTCATTTAACTTCTAAAGTGCCTATTTTTTCCAGTGTGCCCTACTCACTTCATGGATTATTCATATTAAGACGTGTAGAAAATGAAAGCAATTGGTGATCCAGTGAAGAGACTCTTTTTTAAAAAAAAAACGAGTTTATAATCAGTCGTATATGAACTTCCTTTGAAATAATAATAATAATGTGAGTTACAATAAAGTATTAATGATTATAATCATAGGATAACATGTAGTGACTAAAATAGGTTATGAAGTTTCTAAATGAGTTCAGAGAATATGTACATTTTAGAAAGGAGTGTAGAGTTAATAAGAGTAACAGGTGATGGCATATAAAACATTACATAACCATGGTGAGGATTTCGTTAACATTACCCAACCAGAAGAAACAACTTATACTACGTTAAATAAAATTAGGTTGACAAGTTAGATAACACCGAAAATTGTTCAAAAATAATAATAATAATAACACCAACAGAAATACTCAAGAATGGATATACAAATTGAGTCAGTGAAACCACAGATTATTATTGCTATTACTCCCTTGGGTTCCGAGCGGAACATAGGGCTTCAACAACACATTTCCACTTTCTCCTATTATCTCCTCTCCTCTTCAGCTGTCTGTCTGTTTTCGACATAGAACTTTGCACAAATGTGCGGAAGTTCAAGTCGCCACATTCCGTGTAGCACGCGAAGCAAGAGAAGAAAGTACAAGAAAAGCATAATAGAAACAGTGAGCAGAGGTGTGAGACAAAGGAGTAATAAAGAAATACAAAACAGTTTCATTGAAGATCATAAGTCACAGGGAGTGGATGCATCTGCGCCACTGAGAACGGTTTTGAGCCATGTCACCAATTGTTTCCAACCATAGATTTTTACCGTCCCGAGGACCCCAGCCTGGAAGTCTACACCTTTCTACGTGGCTTAGACCAACTGTTGTGGATTTCATTGACTGATGCCAAGTTTTTGTTTGACCGCCTCTCCAGCTGGGTCCACAATTGCCCACAAAGTCATCTTCCCCATGTCACCCTCGCATTGACGACCCACTCATCGCTTGTCATACGGATTCTATCCGAGCGATGGCCGGCATTATGTGTGGTGGTGTCATTCGATGACCTCAACAATGCATGTCTGATCCATCTCCATTTTTTTCCTACACATTTGTTGAGGCATCGTTTCTTTTGGTTGGTTCGTTCTACTGCAGAGTTTCTTGTCGCTAATTCTTTTTGACCAGTCGGCCATTTGTTCTTCAGTGTGTGGAGCCCCAGCGAAGATGGCAGCTGTTGATAAAAGTTTGTAACTTGTCGGTAATGCTTTCCTTGACTCATGCATGCGCCATGTTTCTGACCTGTATAGAAGCAGTGACTGACTTAACATTTGTGATGAAAATTCGAATCTTGTTTCTAACACTGACTGAATATTAGTGCAGAAGATTCCCAAACTGGTTTTAGGTTGATGAAAGCGTATCTTGCACTTCTGATTCTGGCTAGCTGGCTTTGACATCTTCATCTGTTCCTCTGACTTGGGGTTGAAACTGTGCTTCCTGACTGGATAAGGGAAAGAAGTAACCTCTGCATAATCTCTCCGGTTTATAGTGATTGGTGCTGGTTTTTGTTGTTGTTGTTGTTTGCTTATCTTCAGTATGTTTTCCATGTAGAAATGGGGACTGAAATAACTTAACATAAACAGATTAGGATCATTTTAAAAAACAAGTGTTTGAACAAGTACAGGATCAAATTTCAGAAGGAACATGAGTTAGTTTGAGAATGTAGATACGCCTTGCTGACTAGTAGCAACAAGCACGAAACCTTGGGTCAAACGCTCCCTGCCGATTGCCTCCAACCATCCAATAATGATCAACACTTATATATATATGGAGCCTTGGTTTCGGTGGCTGAAACCTCAGTAACACAAGTGAGCTAGATGCATGCATGATGTTTTTAGCAGTTTAGTTCTCACCTTTTAGATAACTTTGAATTGGGGGAGATAGAAACTGCCACTAGATATTTTCGCATGTGATGTAAAGCGGAGACTACAACAGATATTCCAACAGTGTAAAATCAGGTCGATAAAACACCTTTAAAACAACCAAAAGTAACATCTGTTATCATAGCAATATTCCTTTAAACACATAATACAAAACCACATAGAAGACCAGCTACCTGAGAAAATGCAAACCGTAACTAGCCGCCTGTGTTTTATCCTTTAAAGCAAGCTAAAACAAAAGTGCGCTAAGTTTACTTTGATGAGACACTAGTTAGTAGCTAGTGTAAATGTGTCTTGTCTTTTGTTTGGTGCAGATTGAATTCTATTAATCGAGTTTGCAATGTGGCCACTATTCCAGGTGGCTCTCCATCACAGTGTGCACTATGAATTGTTGATATTATAGATGGTTGATGGCAATCAACATGAAGCCTTGGACCTAGGTGTCTCGTGCTAGTTGGCACTCGTCGGCAACGCGTATCTGCAACTTTGGAAGAACTCATATCCCTTCTGAGATTCGAACCCGCGTCACTCAGTGCCACATTGCAAACTTGACTGACAGAACTCAATCTGCACCAAACAAAAGACTAGACACACTGCACTAGTTACTGACTAGTATCCTACGTAGTCCTAAAAGACATCATTCGCGAGCCTGAATATCTCAACGTCTCTGACTGCAGCACTGAGTAACGTGGGTTTGAATCTCAGAAGAGACATGAGTTACTTCAGTGTGGTTGCAGATATGCCTTACTGTGACTGGTGAGTGCCAGCTAGCACAAAACCTAGGTCGAGCAAGGCTTCGTGCCGATTGACTCCAACCATCTAACACCAACCCATTCAAAATGTGCTAATTCTGCTTTGCAATAACTCATATGCTCACTTCTTTAAAGAAGATAGAGATAATGGAGATAAAATGATCACTGTCAACCAGATGATCAATTATTATTGCACTTTTTATACAGCTTAATAATAAACTCGTTGAAAAAAGAGTCTCTTCACTGAATAATCACTTGCTTTCATTTTCTATATCTTAATTCATCAACATTATTATATGCTTAATTACTAGTTTATGATAAAATTCATTTGTTAGGAATATATGGTTCTATGTGAGTCTGCATTAGCAAAATTCTTTATTTTTTTTTGTGTGTGTGAATAAACAAATGTGAAATGAATTATTACTAGTCACTGTCTATATCATGGTACTAAGTAGTACTTCTTTACCAGTAAGAATCAGCTTGTAAAATGTTATGCGCGTCACACTACCCACTTTTATTTTGTTATACACACCGTAAATATAGGATTCCTGTGGTTTGACTAATTGAATGTATTATTCCTCATAAATCACGCGCTCAAAATGTGTAGAGACTGTTTAGTGTGACTAGTGACCTCCCCGTCGGTAGTGTTAAAACCTAAGTGTAACTTTTTCGTCCTAGTTTGAGGCTATTTGTCAGTAACGATCAGTCACCACCAATGAGGTCATCCCATCTCGAATTATAGCTTGTCAAGACATGCAAATTAGTAATTCACAAAATCATTAGGCCGAGATCTACAGGCCTATAGTTCCTCAACTTTTATCCTTTTACAATATAACCATTACATTGTCATCCAGAAGGGTATCTTTCCTTTAATCCAATTCAATGAAATCCACTCGCTCCGATCTTTCCAAGGGAAATTCAGAAGATCCATTTCAGAAATGGGGGGGGGGTGGTTAGTAGTGAATTGTTGGTTGATTGTTTTTAAAATTAGCCATTTAACTCCAGCCTGTATGAAATAACTTACTATTAATCTGCAGAATTTATATGATATACGCTAAGTTGATTAGAGGTCTACACAGTTCGTGGCGGTGAAATCTCACTTCAGTTCCTTCCACAAACCAAAATCATTCAAATCACAATCTGTGAACTGCTTGGCTCTTGATAAATGGCAACCAAAAAAAAGCAAGTATACAAATGCAAGGCGCTGTATACACTACTAATTGACTGATATCAGTAGTCGAATAGCACTCATATCGACCAGTAGTGCTCAAGTCACAGAACCGAACCAGTTTTGGTTCTCTAAGCTGAGACAAACCAGATACACCAATGATGAGTTCGTCGCAAAACGAACGAAAGGGCCATTCGGTGTTTAAATCAGTTGTATATCTCTAGCGAATACTACTGGTTGGTGTGAACTGTATCCTACTACTCATATCTTTCACTCAGTAGTACATAACATCATCATCACCAAGTTTTCTTTTCCATAGAACGTTGACGAATGGCCCCTTTTTCTGTTAATCATATTCAGTTATATTCCTTTTTCTTCGCTGTCATCATGCTTTCTATCGTTGTTCTTGTTCCCTTTTTCATTGTTGTTGTAGGCATCCCCATCAAATGAAGATAAACAGATATTATCAAATTTAAACAGTGGTGATTGTTCTCAAGGTGCAAGTAGCTCATCAATTTCTTCACACAGAACCTCAATTTTTTCAACATTTTTACCAACATTTCCACCTGTTGGTTTATTCAATGGTTTACAAATGGAGAGTAATTCATATAATGTTTGTAATAACAATAATCCGAATAATAATAATAAAAACAATAACTATGCACTATCAGATAATCGAGGTGTTTTAAAATCTTCTCTTATCAAATCTACATTGTCGTCAAAATCTAGTACAATAGTTGATTTATAATAATTCATCACATATGTACAGATATTGATACTTTCTGCCTTATTTAAGTGTATTTACTATTTCTCTTTCTGTCTTTTGTGAATTTCAATTTCTTTTTTTGCTCATTAACCTAACACTTGATCGTCACCATCATCAACCCATCCCCCGCCCGATATGAGCTAATCTGTGATTGACGTTTTGTTTGTTTTGGTAAAACAATGTTTCGTTAATCTACTCACATATTTTTCGTTTTCATTTTTACTGTGATCCCCGGTAGCTTATATGTTTTATGTCTGTGAAATCATATGAATAGAGCATACGTGTATACGATAGTTAATTAAAACAAACAATAAAGATGAATAGTTTAAGGTTTGTTGAAATATTTGCCGTTATATTTAAAGTTAATGACGGTTAGCTATAAAAATGTATCCTTGCAAGGAGATTGTCTGCGTGTACTTGTAAAAGGTGAATGAAGAGACATTTGATTTTGAAATTTCCGCTAATGTAGCACAGGATTTTGAATTTGGTGTAGTTTTAATCAGTAAGCATACAAAAGGACCAAGAATGTAAGCAAGTTTCTAGAAAGGTTATCGGGGCGATGACTGATAAACTTGCGATAAATCCTAAACATTCGTCTGTGCTCAAGAAGTTATCTAGAAAAAATTAGGATTAAGTCATTATTGTGTTATCGCGTTAATGCATCATTTTATATGTTGTAATCACTAGTTTTCAGGGTTCAAATTAAGTCGTCTCTTGATGTTTTGCATGTTTCAGTCTGGTTAGATGAATTTCTTTTGGTAGGGGAGGTATTGTTCATCTACACACATTCCCTTCGGCAAATCCTCCTGTAATAGCCTGAAAATAAGACTCAACCAATAGAAACCAAGCTATCAGTTTGGCGCTAAGGTAGTTTAAATCTGCTTATTGCCAGTTTACTCTAGAAAGACAATGAAAGCTTTGCGACAGAACTATCTACCTTGGAGAACACAAATACATTAATGACAGTAAATCAGAAAAGGCACTGTGTGGCATAAACCCAAAGGATTACACACTTTTGAAACTGGAAGGAAATAACTGTTGAGAAGTACTGCTAAACATGATAGACAGTAGGATTTGAAGATTGCCAAGTGAATTTACATCTGTTTTGTCGGATACGGAGAACTGTAGTGGTAGTATAAAGCCTTCCTGATCACTGACAATTTCAACGCGTCCAACGGTTGAATAATTGACGTATTAACCAAGCACTACTGTTTACTGTCATTGACATAGTCTGTTTCAGAAACTGCATAACATTCAAGTAAATTCCATATCAGATTAGTTTATTTTAATAAACACACAGTGATGCAGTATTAACAATTGCGTAATGTTTTGAGCTTAAATTATTGACACTCACAATCATATCAATTCAGTCATATGGTTTCACAATTTGTCATATATTTTTTCTCTCTTTCTGTCTGTCTCTAGCTCCCCTTTGTTGTTTGTTGCCACTTTCCATATCTCCAGTATAGGCGTTGCGTCATTCCGATTTCACGTGTGTGGTGTTGAATCGATAAACCCAGATTCAGTGATTAACCTCTCTTTCCACCTAACTACATTACTTTTTAATACTCCCACCCTACTGTGCGGTGATTACATTCAAGTCAATGCAGTTCAATGACTGAGCTTTCTTCTAGGTTATTTAACCTAGCTCGGTCAATCATCATTCTGGGCCTAGCTGCATTTTTATGTTCCAATAATCTACTAGTTTTGGCTATGGAATTAGCCTCACAGTCATTACATGGTATTTGGCAAATCATTTTATTTTTCCTGATTGGATCTATTGGAGGGTCCTTTAACCAACAAAATTTATCTCTGAGAGAGTTGTTTGGTTTAAATCCCACTCTAATTCCAATCGCATTGAGAATTCTACGTAAGGCCTCTAACTTCTCTTCTTTATACGGCAGTGCTACAGAGGCTTTGAATTCCACATTATTTTCGTTATTTTCATCATTTCTATTACTTATCTTAGTTTTTCTATGATTCTTCACATATTTCTGAATGTATTCTGGTGGTTAGTGTGTGTTATTTGATTTCGTTATTTAAATCTGGCGTACTAGTTAGGCTCTTGCCTGGATTATACAGACATTTGACCAAACCTATCTTTACCGATTCTGGATGGGATGAATTAAAGTCCAAGTGTTAATTAGTGTTTCGGTTTTCTATAAATGCTAGTATCCAACCGCCCAGCATCTTGTTTTCGTTTTATTCTACAGTCTAGCATGACCAACTCACCCTGATTTTTTAATTCACAGCTATAATTTATGCTCGAAACCTAATCGTCCAATTGTCAACACTGCATCATCGCTGTGTGATTAAATAAAATAAACTTATCTATTATGGAATTACAACCTTCAACAGTGCTACATTTTAGTGCGTCAGTGGCACAGCGGTTAGGACGCTCGCCGACCGTCCACAATGGTCCGGGATTCGACCCCTCGCCACCGACGCTCTCCTGAACCTCGCTAAGCTGGTAAGGGGGAAAGGTTGGGCATGAGGCTAGCAACCTCATCCTGTAAAAATGAACACTGCTACCGAAACTTCAAGACTGCAGCTTGAAGCTCTATGTTCCACTGGGAACGTCATGGAAAAAATTTTAAAAAATACAGTGCTACATTTACATCAATTCAAATAAATTAACTACTTCCATTTGGTAATATTATTTGTTTTATGTCCTGTAATGTATTCCTCACTGTTAGACAGTGTTTCTCCCGTTTTCCTGAATGTATAGTATGTTTCATTTGGTTAAAATTGGTCACACTTATTGAGACATAAAGCAAAGAAATTTCTCTATGGAGCCACATAAATTTCACTGCAGTACAATTTCATTTCTGTACAGATTAGTCATGATAATCAAGGAATCATAAATGTTAACAGTTTTTAAGTGCATATCTTCGAAAAGCGGTGAAGTCAGCTAAAAGTTAATAGTTTTAGGGCTAAATTAAGCGATAATAATCATAGGTATCTTGACTAGACTGTGAACAAGAACTTAATATATGCAATGATAGTAAACCGCTTTCCTTGAGAAGAGATATGCCAAAATAAGAATAACGGAAACACAAGTGTAAATGTTCACAGTGCACCAGAAGCAAGAAAAATGGAGATCTCAGTGCAACTATCACTTGTATATTCAAGATTTAATTGGAACTGCTAGTGCGTTTCTGCTCCGTCATCCGTTCATAACCTTGGAAGCCTTAGTGTCGCAATGCTTCTTGACAAGTGCAGCACTGTTTTCAAATGTTGTCCTCACTAGTGAAGCAAACGGTCAGTCAGATATCGCGGTGGTTGATATATATATATATAGCCAGAGAAGGAAAGAGACTTGGTAACTGACTTTTTATTGAGGAAAAGCACACCATATTTATAGGAATTTAGCCACAATTATGATTGGTTAGGTCAGAGGATAATAAATTGGCCTGACAGATTGTTGATAATCTGAAGGCTTTACTTTAAGACGAAAAGCTGCCCATGATGATGAACCTGTTTTGTGGTGACAAACTGAAATATTGGGTTATAGTCTGGAAAACAACTAGTTCAGTCAAGCCGATAGTCTGAAACAGCTTTTTATATGAAACTTATGTAAATCGACAGCTTCCAAAAAAATGAATGGCTTCATTGCATACCTCCGCTAACTGTAAAGTCGTAATACGTTGCTATTATGGTTTAACGAAAATTTATAATTTTTTATGCTTTTTAAGTCGATTTTTGCATCAAAGGCTTTTACCGAAGTACATCTTAGCAGTGGAGTAACGTTACATTTTTGAACTGCGCCACATTCACTGTATTCTTATCAGAAAACGTCGCTTGACACTGATATCTGTGCAATGTAGCACGTTAAACGACTCAGGAAGTCTCAAAGAAAAACGTGTATTTTCGGGTTTTCAGGAAATCATGCTGGTATATTTAAACCTTTGGTTGAACAAATATGGCGCCACTTCGGAAAAGAAGGATGACATATGATAGCCAGAGCTTTTCAAAACATGACGATATGCATGATGGAAAATTAATAAAATAATTTTGACAGAGTTGCTTTATACCTGCAGAAGCAGTTCACGTCGTCTGATCTCGAGTTTTACCACAGTTCTAACTATAGTTAAAGGCGCACATTATTTGAACGCCGCGTTACAAATGGTAGTCATGGTGGGGTGTGTCTAAAATTTTCTTTGTAAAGAATAAACTGGTTTATTGTTAACAATCTCTGCAACAGCAGGTGGCCCACCAAAGCCAGCAGTAATAATTAAAAGATAACTGTTGGTTCATACTCAGAAACTAGGAGAATGGCTTCAATATCAGGTGACAGATGAAGCACACAGAGGATGAAAATCACCGTCATATGGTTCAGCGATAGTCGGATATCCTTTTTTTCTTGGTTTATTGGTGGCGTACAAGAAGTAACTAGATTTGACTATCAGTACGATAATAATTTTCCGCTACTGACATGAGGGGTGAATCATGGGAAATTTTAAGGTGTTTGTGAAGTGCTTTCGGAAACTGGATTCAACGATGTTTACATGTCCGTTTTGATTGCTACTGCGGACCACCAAATTATTTTTCTCCTTAGTATCATTCAGAAATTCAAGTAGACATTCTTGTGCTGAATTTAGTGAGAAAGAAGACAAATGACAGAAAGACAGAACGAAGCATGGTGACTCCACAGTGACTGATATATAAATAACTTCTCATACTCTCTAATTTTATGCCTTGCTATCACTGCTTACAGGCCAAGTGGTGTGCTGGAAAAGTGAGTAGTTGATCATGTTGCATTTACTAGGGCTGTTACAACGTAGCATGTTACCAGCTCAAACAGTCCCATGCAAATATTCGGCCGACCCATGGTTTCTCTGAAAATTTTGACTTCTGATTCCCTGACATACATAAACTATCGGTCGCAGAGAACCGAATGTTCGGATTTGAATGAAATATATTTAAGCTGAAAGCAGTTTCTTGAAAGGTAATTTATGATCAAGACTGTATAGTAACTAGTTGGCAGTCGAAAGGCAGTCACATGAAGAGCTCTAATAACGATACATTTGGGTGTGCTTAGGTGACAGATAACTTTATTGATTTAAGCCGGTGAATACATAATTATGATGATAAAGAGGCTGATTAAAAATTGGTTAATGAAAATCGATAGAACAGTAGCACAGCGGTAGGCTATTCCACAGAATTATTGGCCACGGCATTCTTCACTGATAATCGGATGCTGACTCTCACTGTTTAAGTCAACTTGTTTGGCTGAAGGCTCATGATCAAGCATCCATGCCAATTTGCCATGCCATCGTGTTACGTTCGTTCGTGCACAATGCCTAGCTAGTTGAGCAGTCATCTGGAACTCCGATTTGGTCCCGAAATATGATTCGTAATTTGGACGATCGATTCTGTTGTTTTGCTTTGCCTGTAGTCTACGCAGAACGAATACTATGAACGTTGTGAGCATTATATCTTGCGTAAGTATACTTCGTACTATCCGTGCACACCAACACCCTAGGCCTCTAAAGTAGCTTATTGAGGTGTATTGTATACCTTGGGAGACTTCAGCAACAGCAGTAAAATGTGGAGGGTGTTAAATGTGTTCGTGTATCTAGCCTGGATCCATGACCTTCGTTCTCATAAATAATCTGTTCACTTACGATATTCAATGCCAGAAACGTATGCTGCTTTCAGTTAGTGCCTAAGGGTGTCCGAAATGATATACTCTCACAATTCCCCGATCCATTTTGCCTACCTGTATTTCCCTTCCTTCCTAGATGGATGTTACTTCTGCGAACAGATTGTAGATAATGTGATAGAGTAAAATTCAGTCGTAGAATAAACTTACTTGAAGAGTGCACACTGATGCAGCATTATTAACTCGCAACACTTCAAACACAATTTGCTGCTCATAACCAAATTAATGACATACACAAACAACTTCCATACTTCGTTCATATGATTTCATCACTTCTTATCCTTTGATTTTATTGAGAGTAATATTTTCCCCATCTCTGGTATTGGCACCGAGTCATTCTTATCTCACATGTTAACTGCAGATTCGATGAACAAATATCCAGGAATCCACTTACTGATATCACCGCTAAGAACTGTAGTTCCGCTCAACCCTGGGCGCACATATCTTTCAATATAAAGAGGAATCAGTAGAATTTCATGTTTATGCCGAAGGGGCTCACTATTTATTTTGGCACACAAACTGTAGAACCTCTTTAATTTATACAGCAATCAGTCTTCTGAACGAGGAGAACTCAGCGGGCGAAGAGCCAAATCCAAAGATCTGTTAACAACCCAATGCTGATAGGTATTCTATGAAGGTAATACTTCAGATTAGGGTAAAGAGAATAAAAGTAATTCGGAAACCAAATCAGTATGGTAGTTGCTCAAGACAAGCGCAAGAAGAGCAAAGATCTTTAAAGGATGACTATCTCATTCAAACGATCACTCATACTTCCAACGGACGACCCGTAATATTGTAGAATACCAGTGGAGTTAATAAACCTTTATTTCTGAAAGCACGCTAGATGGCAAGTGAAGCAGGAAATGTCTATTCAAACAAACGAAAGAGCACTCATCATTCGGAAAGACCTACAAGCCATAATGAGGATGTAGTATTTGCTTGGCTGCTCGTTCCATCCTTCTGGGTTCCTTAATCACATAGAACATATGTGTGGCCTCCATGCCTGTACATTTGGTGTGTCCTACACAGGTAGGACAAAATATGTACTTCATTAAAACATTATTATTAAGTATGATTGCTAATCGTATATGTAATTTACCATATTGATGATGCCTGTAAACTGGCATCCCTCATGTACAAAATGAGAATATATTATTATTATTAAACGTGTTCTAGAAGCTCCAAACATCAATGTCAGATATTTAAGAATATCACTGTAAACTTCAACGTTCTAGGGGCCTCCGTTAATGGGAGGAGTATGAAATAAAATAGTCAACTGGACTAAAAATAAGCCATTTCACTCTCAGCGGTCAATTCGTTTTCTGTGCCGGCTGAAATGGGGTGCAGAAAACCAGAATTTCAAGGGGGGAGAGCACAGTCACTGCGTTTTTCTGTGGCTATGTATGCTTATGTCTCCTTCACATAGCTGGGGGCACAGCGATTAGGACGCTAGCTGACCATGCACATGTTGCAGGGTTTGATCCTCCACCGACGCACACTCGATATCGGTGGTCGGCCTGCTGAATTTTGTCTACCATTATCACATGCTGAAAATCCCATAGCTGTGCCAAAACACTATGCGGAATCAAGCTGTAATAAAAATAAAATACATTCTTGAGCAGCCGTAAGTTTTATATACTTATCTAACTATTTCGGAGAATATAAAGGTGACCTGATCACTACCATAGATGGGAAAGTTTGAAGAATCAAAAGATTGTTTTTCGCTACAGATAGACTGCATGTTAGTCCACCAGTCAGTGTAGCATGACTTTTTCTGTCTTGATTAGTGTGATTATTGTTCATCTTGATGTAGACGCCCACGGATGACAGTTGCATCTCCTCCTCTTATTTGGGTGTAAATGTGGTTTACAGCTTAATTTTTCTCTCCAACAATACCTGTCTGTATGCTCCTATCCTCTCTTAAATGACAGTCGTTTTGTATTGTTACTTATATGATCGCGTTCTTTCATTATATTCTAGAAACACAGTCTAAGTCACCTTGCTAAGCCTGGACCCTCAACCGTCAGTGTCAATAGTGAGAACTAAAATTTGTGGGCATATCTGACCCCATATAACTGGTGTATCCAAAGTTCAGACCTGGTGAGAAAGATCGCATGCAAAAATATCTAGAGTTATTTCTACCTGAAGCCTTCAGGAAACCAGCTGAAGCAGAATAACTGATTCGTCTCCTAGAACTTAAATATGGGTAATATTTCAACATATAACCTGAATATGTCAAAGAATGCTGCCAATGGAGTTGAAGATTGAACGATCAATTCTTGGTTGTTTGCTCAAAATCAACTTCCTCGATTTTCGCGGAGGCATCAATACGACAGTCATCGTCTCATCGGTCGCTGTTCAGAAAGAAGATTGAAACATCGTCAGAAGTAATACAGAGATTTATTATTGTAATATTTGTTTTCAGACCTTAGTTTGCTTAGTTCGCTTATTCCTTTTATATGTTGGTGTAACAATACAGAAATATCAAACGGCAGATCGGTGTTTTGGTTTTTGCGTCCGTTATAACTAAGCGTTTCTGAGAAATCTTCTAAGAACAGCGTGGGCCCGAGCGTAGCGAGAGCTGGGCATTAACGGT